TGTCAGAGGTTATCACATTTATAACCACCAATTGGTTGACTTTTCTTTCTGGACCGAGTGCAGTTGTCCCGTGTTCGGCATGATGTGCTTTTAAGACTTCATTGACAGAATAAATGAAAGTCCATTTCGACTTTTCCCTCTTTCGACATTTTGACTTTCAAAAATTTCATTCCTTCGACGTTCAGGAATTCCACGTAGCTGGTAATCGAAAATCGGACAGTCGACATTTGTGCTTTCGACATTTTGACGGGATACGCTCCTCTCCTGTCGTTTCTTCAGAAGCATATTTCGCCCCACACTAATATTATACCAAACCGATCAGAAGAAGCTGACGAATCGATTAATATCGTATAAGGCGCAAAAAAGTCAAGGGACTTTTGAATCACCCTGTAGATGATGTACCATCCCCTGAATGCTAAGGGAAACTGGAGTGAGAGATTACCCTGCACTTTTTTCATCTTTGGGCATCGTTCTTGGTCGTGCGAGATTCCGGGAAACTATTGCAGCTGATGAGTATTTCTACGCACTTAGAGTGTTCTCTTTCACAGATGATGGCGCATGATCACATGGCCTTCTTTCAGGAGATAAAATATAGCTAATTCGAGATGAGCTTCGTCTTATTTATTTTCCCGAGGATATTCTTTCCTCGACCTCCATCGTCTCGATCTAGTATGGGAAGAAGACTTCGCCACAGATACAAGGAGAAAATTGAAAATGAAGAGGAATGCCGGGGGAATCTTGCCAGGTGGAAAACATCAAGTAAAACGCTGCGGATAAAGAAGGGGGAAAAGGAACACAAGCACACAGGTGGAAGTACTGAATTGAAAGACTCGGTGTGAGAATCACGCGGAGGCTCGGAGATTCCTGAATATAAGATTAGTGCAGAAATGCTGATCGTTTCCGTAGTATGACTGAATTGTCCTACGCTTCTCCACTAGACTATCTCAGGCAATGGGAGCAAGTACCTTCAACCAGACTAATCGGAAACATTATGGTGGCTGACCCCAGCTACGGGAGGAGGGCTCTACTTGGATTGAATGGAATTTAAGTGATGAAAAGGGAGTATTAAAAACGTTAATTATATACTGGACTAGGGAGTTTGTTTGCCCTTCGGGCAAACAAACTCGCTATGGTTGCGCCTTCGGCGCTTCATTACCTTGGAGAGTCATTAATTCCTTTATTCCTTGCGAAATGGCAAACACGTATTTAAAGTACGTCCCCGTTGAAGTACGTGATATATGATTACAAAAGCCTTGATTTTTTATCAAAATCTTTACTTATGATTTCTATTGCGCCTAACTTGAAATCTTTTCTTGTGTCCCGTTTTGTAAGGGTGGAGAATACATTTTGAAATACTTCCCTCCTATAATCTACGCTAAGGGGACATATTTCAAAAGTAGGATATTTCCTCTACTCAGCCATCAAACAGGCACTACTGAGGCATGTTTAAATTTTCTGTTTCTGTTTCGTTTGATCAAAAACAAATTCAGGAAAATGGGACTGAATAAATGCCCTGATGGGTTATAACGAAAATTTTATTTCTTCTGAAATGTAGACTCATGGAACTCCATGCCACCAAATTTCAGCCTTATACGTTTCCCCTTTTTGTTTGCAGGAAAAAAGTTTTTGGAAAAGTGACCCGCCGAAAAACTGCGCTCTGAGGAGACGCACAACAATAGTTGACTCTTTCCTTAAATCAACATCACGGCTGTTATGCGTGCGCCAGGTACTTTCTATTTCTGCCCGATTCGGTAGGATAAAAAAAATTCTTTGGAAACGTTACGTCCCCAAGAAATATGCCCCCCAAAAATATTTCTGAAATTTGACATTTGACATTTGACCTGAGTGCTTCACCAGACACGTTCTTGCCATGTTACAGCTTTCCGTGGGTCTCTGTTTGATTGAAGCAAAGAGAACTATTTGAAAATATTGATATGTTCCCCGAAAAGGTGTGCCCCTATGGCTTTCATGGCCAAAGTGGAATTTTTCCTGAACTCAGCATGTGAATAGCTACTTATGTCAGGCAGTCAGCTACTCACGATCATCTATATATAATACTAGCCTTCGAGCTTTGGTCGAGCCTTCGGCACTCTATTACCTTGGATAGTGACTAATTCATTTATTCTTTGTGAAATGGCAAGCACGTATTTAAAGTACGTCCCCATTGAAATACGTGACATATGGAGTCGAAAGCCTTGATTTTTATCAAAATCACACAAAAAAAAGATGTGAAAACATCTCCCTTTGAAATTCATGCCCCCAGGGTATTTCATTCGATAGTCTGAATTTTTCTGCAGGCTTTGACTCCCCTCTCTGACTTCCCTCCCACTTCACTCTCCCATGTTCCTTCGCCTGCCCCGAGACTGTTTCGCACTCACGCACTTCCCCCTCGCCTGTCTCTTTCCTCGTTTCGCCAGTCTCACTGGCTCCTGCCACTGACCTTCAGTGGAAACGAGGGCCGCCGCTCTTCCTGTGGGATACTAAGGGGAATGAATTATTTCTTTGACTCGTGTATTTTCGGTATCAATCCTTGTGCAGGCGGTACACATTGCCCCGAGACCGTTTCGCACTCACGCACTTCCCCCTCGCCTGTCTCTTTCCTCATTTCGCCAGTCTCACTGGCTCCTGGCACTGACCAATGGAAACGAGGGCCGCCGCTCTTCCTGTGGGATAGTAAGGGGAATTAATTATTTCTTTGACTTGTGTATTTTCAGTATCAATCCTTGTGCAGGCGGTACACAGCCTAAGGCTGCAAGGGTGACGATGTTCATGAGCTGCCTGTTATTCTAGGTAATGATAAATCGAATTTGTGATGTTCGCAAAGGAAATTTGGCAACGTATATCCCCCCTCCTCCCTTCAGATAGCTATGTCCACACATCTCCCTTTTCTGAAACTTCTGCATATTTTGCTCAGTGCCTTCCTTCTTTGGAAAGGATTGAAATCTGAGTGCAATGTGTTTATGGCATGCTTCAGATTGTTAAGGAGAAAATCGATTCTCTGGGGTTCAAGATCTGTGAATAAATGTATTGGTGGGTCCCGAGAGAAGTACTGAGTGTGGTCATTCTTGTCACCTGCGACGAATAGTTAGCCATACGTCCTTGCTAAATTTGCTGCTTGGTAGCCGTTTGACAGGTCGAATCAAAACACAAATCGGAAACAGTTGGCCACATGAACACCAAAAAAGCGAAATCGAAAGACGAAGCAATCGAATTTCAAACGAGGCGGAAAGATTGAATCTGACTTCAAAAGTCATAGACCACGAGCCCCTAATACGAAGAATTCGAATTTTCAAACCAATTTCCCGACTATCATTTCGACCACTGAAATGATCATCCATACGACTTTAAAATGCCTCTTGGTTGAACTGTATACCAAAGCTCATGCGCCTTGAACAGGGCATTTCGAAGAAAAGTAACGAAATGTGCTAGAAATTGTGTATCTTTTAATCTCGCTGCACACCCTGCATAAGTGGAAACATCGCCAAATAGTTGTAAGTGAGACCAGGAAAAATAAACTGCATGCACGCAGGGTATGAAATTCCTCAAATCGAATACCTGAAGATGTATATGTTTGAAAAGTTGCGCGTACATATCACGTGGAGCAGAAGGTGGAGATAAGTTTTCACGTTTGACCCTTTCCACCAATTCATGTCCAGGAACTTTCTGAGTGCCCTAGAGTGCAAATAAACATTTTCTGACGTAGCTGCAGTATCAAATAACCAATTCATCAATGTACCAAAGGAACGGTATCAATTCAGCTACAGAGCCAGAGCGGAATTCAGAGAAAGAAAAGAAAAATCGGTTCGCTTAAGAAATGAGCAAATATTTAGAGGCTGGAGGAAATTATACAAGCTTTGAGAAAAAGGCCCTTGGGCCTTCAAGTCCTTTCCAGACGTTTCCACACTTTGTCTTTCATACCTTAAAACACGTTTTCGATATGTTGTCGAAGAGCTGTATCGCGTTATTGCAGGTGCAAACAGTGCAGGGAACTTAGCAGCCGTCTAAGAATAATCAGGAAGGTGCAAATGAAATGATAAAAAAACAAGAAACTGAAACGAGGCATCGCGAGCACTTATGAGCTGTTCAAGTGAAGCAACAGCTCATCGAGGAACTGTAGCATTGTGGCCGAAGTAAGATGACTGTATTTAACTTCGGAGAGATTCCGGTGCATTGACTTTTTTCCGGCAGCGTCTTCATCGCTTGATATCTTAGGAAAACGTCTCTTAGGAAATCATAGGAATGAGGCAAAATTTATACTCCAAAGGCTTATTTCCAGCTAAATTCTCTCATCCTTACACTCCACATCCTTCAGGTATCACTTACCTTCCAACGTCAAATGCATCACCATCAAGACCGACCAAATCATATAGACCGATACTTCTCACCGACCAAGAGGCGTACCACCTCGGGAAGTACTCAGCTGCATGTAGCGAATTCCTTGGAAGTCCCGACCGGTCCTCCGTCGAACCCCACCATATTTCACGATTAACGGTTGTAAAGTCCTCCCCATTGCAGACGTCTTGCTCGATTGCCGCAAAGAGCATGAATCCTCATCCCTTCCTGCGAACCGATCCGTACGTAAAGTGCAGACTCCCCGAATGTCTAGTTCTCATCCATGACGTCGGGTCTTCACGAAGTCCATGCCGATTGCTGACACCAGCTCCAAGCACCTTACCTGGGAGCTCATCCATTTTGTTACACGAGCCAAACCCGTTCGTGTAGAAACCCTTCGGCAAACGGCATGTTGGAATGGAACAGAAAAGTCAAAGCACAGTCGATGATAGAACTCGACAGACGAAAAATAAGCATTTCCATGTAATGGTCGATAAGAGAAACTTTTCTTCAAGAGTCCATTATCTGAAAGGAACATCCGGACGGTTCATTTTCGAAATAACACTTTTATCAACGGATGTAGTGACAATGGGTCTGGCGCGACTGGACCAGTAATGGATAACGTATTTATAATACACGATGCCATGTTAAGCACAAAATGAAAGAGAATGTCTCCGGTGAAGGACATCCTTGCTGTCCTCTTCATCTCGTTCGACCATTTCGCCTATGGTATGCATAGGAACGTCATCTTCCAGTCGGATGATCCATGCTTACCGAATGGAGGCGTATGCACGAAGTTCAACGAGTGTCCCGAAGCCCTAGCGAAATTCTGACGGAATCCATCGGCCTACAGACCGCAATTGTGTTTCTTTGACTCCGGTGTGCCAGTCATCTGCTGCGAAGGAACACCATCCTCCCCTGAGACTCCGACTGCAAATCCTCGTCGTTCCTCAAAACGGCTCAGCAAAGCCAGTAAGCCACCTTGTTGTCAATAAAAGAATCATATCGTGACCTTCACAGTTCTTGATGGCTCTTCTTATATTGACCCGAGCAGAATGCGAGGAGTACAAAGCTTCGTTGAAGAACGTGGCCTGCGACCACACCCAAACGGGATTGATCCACGGTGGACAGGAAGCTGACGCCTTCGAATTCCCTCACATGGTAAGGAATTCCCTTGCGAATTCAAGTGAATCGCTCATTCTTTGTCCCTGCCTTCAGTTTCTCGACCAATCGTTTGATTGGTAAAGAATGAAACGTAGACGTTTGAATAAAATGTACTAGCGGCCTGCGGCCGCTACGCTGGCCAGCTAACAAGTGGAAATTTTAATCGTCTATTGTGAGCATAACTTCTCCTTGACAAACCTCTATTCATCTCATTACCCATTCGGAACTGAACCGCTTCATTACATTTATACACATATAGCTTCCAGTACACAAGGATATTACAATATTTTCCTAAACACCATCATCATGATGTTCCAGCTGATTGCCACAATCGTTCATTGTGAACGGTTTAGCACGTTTTCATGAGACTCAAGTCGACTTTGATGATTTCGTCGATCTAGCACATTCAATACTCTTGCATCACCGATTAGCTCATGTGCAATAGCACATGAGCTAATCGGTGATGCATATGCGTTAGCATATAGTACAGACACCAATGATTCTGAAACAATACGGACCATTTCCAAGAACTTGTTCGAAGGCACAAAGGGAATTTAGTACATGTGCGGCACAATGCTGGCAGGGACAAAGAATGAGCGATTCACTTGAATTCGCAAGGGAATTCCTTACCATGTGAGGGACAATGCTAGCGACTAATTCCAGAAAATGCCTCGCCACTACATTACCCTGAGGCTCTGAAAGTGTTTCTCACTGGTGCTAAAGTGTGAGTTGCAGCAGGAGCATTTTCCCCTTGTGAAACAAATGCCTCCTCCCTACATCAAAATGTACAGCCTGACAGTGCTGGCTGCGCAAACCACTGTAGTGATTCGAGATGACATGGAGAGGCCTGAGAAAGTGTCCCGAATTCTGAGGTGTAAAGGTAGCACACTTGACCGGCAAGCAAGAGGTCCGGGTTCAATTCCCGGCCGCCCCACGGCTTTCGACACCCGAGTGCTGCGTTCATTGCATCAAGTTGCCCAGCAGGCTGCATGGGTCTCCTATTGCTGAGCTCAGCATTCGCTGCCTCTTGCTGTTCAGCCTAACGCTCCCAACGTGCTACAGGGAACTGTTCATCAGTCATTCTAGCCATTATGGCTAGCACCTCCTAAAGTACCGATTTAGGCACTTCACACCGCAACCGCAGTGTCAAACTTTGTTTCCGCGCCAGCACCAATCGCTTATTATCTGTAGCGACTGCCTCATCGCCGTCTAGTGGGACCTCTTTCAACATTTTCTTTTCACGTTCAACCTCAGCTCGCGAAAATCGCCACAGTTTTGATGGGAAGAGCGGCCCGTTTGCGCGACGTTTGAAACATAGAACTTCCGTCATTATTTTGATTTCATCAATCATGAGAACTCAAATAAATCGGCCATAACATGAAACGCAAACAGAAAACTATTGCATGGAAGTGATGTCCCCGAACCGCCATGCCTGACCTAAATAAATAAAGAAAAAAACGTTGATTGACACAGCTAAGTATGACTCAGACTTACATAGCTCGATGGACCTGGCGCTAAAAGCGTTGGATGCCCAAGCCTATGGCCTAGAATAACATAGCCTGAAGTACCTGGGGCTTTGAGAGGTGCATGGCCTAGCCTTTGGCCTGAAGTGACATAGTGTTGTAGGCCTGGGGAGACGACCACAACCAATGCAACTCTCGGGTTCTTTGACTTAAAGTATCAAATATAAGATGGCCTGGCCTATGACCCAGAATGGAATCGCATCGTAGGCCCGCGCGCGTTGGGAGTGACAGCCGCGACCACGACCACCGCCACCACCGCAACTTTTCACCTTTTCGAATTAGAGTAATAGCATTAAAGTAATAGTTTAATATTAGTTTCACCAATGTTCTCTGGAGGTGACAGGCTAATTTTCTCATCAGGTTCTGCATTTCTCGTAGACATGCATATATATTTACTCTTGGGAATTAAGACACTCTAGCAACTAAACCCTCGCCACGTTAAAGCAGCCATTAGCTCCATAAATTGTGTTACAGAATCAAAGTACTGGGAGATAGTAGTTGCTACAATGCCACAATGCCACAATGCTACTTGACAATCGCAAACCAATGTTGTCGCGTATATTCCACTAATGGTGGTAAATTGTTCGGAAAACGATGGTCTAACGATATTCTCTGCTTTGAGAATTAATACCATGAAGTACTCAAATTATTTATCCTCGATGTGTATATTTTACACAGTGCTGCACCTGGCGAATCGATTGACGATGTTGGTCTGCTCTTCTCAAGTTTAACTGTCAGCTATGGAACCCTTTCCTATCTTCATTAAGGCCGAAGACAGCCGCTTGACCATTGAGATGACTTTTCCCCCGAGAGGGTGTCTTTGGGGCTTAATATCTTCGAAACTGTTTTAGCTAGAGGGCTGAACTTCGGGATCCTTTTACTTCTCAAAGAATTCATGATGCATGAATGTTTTCGACAAAATCCTACTCGCACACGCAACCACGTTTTCTTGTTATTCTCGCTGGAATACCTTATATGTGGTAAGGATCTTCTGATTCCAAAGTTTATTGACAGAATACAGAAAACATTACTCCTCTGTAATTTGCATGTCTGTAGCAAAGTTATTGGCTTTTCCGTGGGATTCTTTAAATTATAGATTTTAATGTTTTGGAAGTCGTAATAAATGTAAAGGTCAAAATATTTGTTCATTTGTCCATTTGTCCATTGTTTGTTTTCATCTGAAGTGACATTTTAATACAATGTTTGCATTTCTCAAGTAATTTCCAGTGAATCGACACCTTAATCAAGGATCTAGCACGGATAGTTCTTGAGATACAGGGATATCAAGATCAGAAGTTAGCAGGTGACCCTAAATTTTGACCATCAGTTGTTGAATGCAAAGGCAATTTAAATGCATTTCACGACCACACGCAGTACGCTTTGGAAAGAGTGCGGGAAGGGAAAGAGATGCGAACGAGTTATCTTCGCAAAGAGACGCGAGATTCGGCTTTCCAACGTGGCACGTCCTCGGTCTTTCCTCGCGCATCGAGGGGCGACCCGACTTCTCAGTGAGTTGAACCGGAGGGGTTTTAACGAAAAGTTCATTCTTTCGCGAAAGAAGTTATCTTCATAACATGCGGGAAACTCTAAGTTTCCATACTCTATTTCGTGTTCCAGGCCCTCCTGGGAGAGAAGCTGTCGAACGGGGAATATTTTTGGAAATGCGGTGGGGCCCTCATCAGCGAGGAATGGATTCTCACAGCTGCCCATTGCATCGACAACGAGTAGGTCGCGATTTTTCCTTCGCGTGGGGCGTGACTCACGAAGATGGCTAACGACTTAGAGTCGCCGTCCATTTCGTGGCTCGATTTTGCAGGCGTATTTTTCTGTCTTTCAGCCGGCCTTTGACGGTGAGACTCGGGGAACACGACCTCGACGATTGGAAGGATGCCATCCCGTCCGATTACCAAGTGGCCGAGGTCGTCATTCATCCGGAATGGGGAAATAGAAGACACATAATCGTACGCAGTCACGGCCTGTGGCTTTCAGTTCGGGCACGAATAACTTGTTCCTGTTATTGACATACTTTGGCGTATTCTTAGCAGATGAGGAATGCATGATCATCTCCCGTTTTAGGGAGACGTGTTTATTATTCCCATGAAAAGCTCCAGAAGAATTGAAACTTATTTTTTTCTCTCTCCATTAGGGTTACCACGATATAGCCCTGCTACAACTAAATCAGGAAGTTTCCTTTCGGTATTCAATTCACCCAGCATGTCTGGCGACCGATGACGTCCAGCTGCCACAAGGGAGCAATGTCACCGTTACCGGATGGGGAACCACCTCCTTCGGTATCCTTTGTTCGTGAGCAGAACGAGCCAAGTCCTGAATCCCTCACAGGTCGATTGCATTGTTCCTTAGGCGGGAAGACGAGCAGCGTCCTGCTCAAAGTTTCTGTTCCGCTGTACGGTTCATCCGATTGCGACGCCCTGATCTCGAGGTACCCCTTCGCTCTTGGGAGAGTCTACCCAGAGGGTGCGAGCGGGCGAGTCCTCTGCGCCGGGAAGGAAGGAAAAGACTCGTGCCAGGTAATACGTTCGGAAATCGTTCTGTGCGATGTCGGCATGGGGAATCGCTCGATCGAATGTCATTCGACGAATTTCGCTTCTTACAGGGTGATTCGGGTGGACCGATGACGATTCCTCGCACTCCAGACAGCTGCGTGTATACCGTCATGGGGATCGTATCTAAAGGTTTTGGGTGTGGCACTGAATTACCAGTCTTCTACACTAAGGTCTCCTCCTACTTGGACTGGATCGAGGGGATTGTCTGGAACACTAATTCATAAATGTATATATCACTAAGCAAGAAACGGCGAGGGTGAAGATTAAGCTAGCTTTGAAGGAAAGTCACGGTTAGGTTTTTGTTTACTTCATCTGGGCCAAACTTCTTCCTGCGACGAGAGATTTTTCAAAGTCAGACATTCTAAACGTTAAAATTAAGAATTCAATTCAGGGAATGCATGTGTCTCGTTAGATGTCTTTCACGTGCCTCGTTATGGAATAGCCAACTGCCAGCTAGCCTACTTTTCGAGGCACATATTCCAGAAATGTGAAGCATGCGTCAGTATTACAGCCGTTGAAATTGCCTTACGAATGCAGTCAAAACGTGCCTGAAATAGTCTAATAAAATGTGAACTATTCTTCTTAACTCCATTCACTTTTCAATATAGTCCCCTCGTTATAGCCTCGTTTATTTGTGGGAATGTCGGAACCACTGGGAAATAGTACTTCCGAGAGCACTTCGAAAAGGATAACAGTGCCCGTAACTTTTTAACTCCCGAGTTTACTATGAAGCCCACAGAGTCCTCACGTGCATGCTCGGGCGTGGGATTTAAAGTGTCAAGGGACCTGATGCGTTTCCCAAAACGACCTACGAGAGCGAGCCGGGATGCGACGGCCACTTGGGTCCGCCTTCCCTGCTGGAAGCAGCTAGGCGGTTGGGTGGTCGGTCGGATCGGACGCATCGCCGCGAAACCGAGGTGTTTCGAGAAGTTGATGTGGACCTATTCGGGTCAGAGAAAATTAAGAAAATGCTTCGGGATGTCAATTACGTGACCTGGGCGTTGAACATTACGTGGACTCCAGCGTCTCTCAGACTGTGGGAGAACGTCGATATTAGCAAATGATGATTTAAAAAATAGGATTTTGAGGTCTGTATTAATATTTCACTCTTACTTAGTACTGCACCCCTGGAAAAAGAGAGCGAAAAAGGCATTCGCAGATGAAACAACCATTCCATGAGGGAACATGAATAAGAACAAGAACTCACGTATTTCTTGGAACTCATCTGAACTCTGCGCTCATCGCGTGATTCCACTCTTCTGAGGAAGGACTTAGCAATTTCCTGCAAAAAAAGTATGCACGTGACGGACGGCATTTCAAGGATTCGTTTCAGAAGTTTCAGAATATCAGTCAAGGGGTTTCTCGACCACTTTCGACACCGGCGTCCTATCTATGAGGATCCTTCAAGAGCTCATAATACCAATAATGACGGATGAAATTATCATTTACCGAGGCTCAACGTCACTGGTGCTGCGTGTAGCAGTTTTGAGGGGGGGGGGGGGAGAAACGCTTTCTTGAACGAGGGAGAATGAAAGAAGGTTTAAGAAGGTATTTAGAAGGTTTAAGAAAATGAAATTGAATTCTGAGGGACTCTTGTCAAATGACACATCCTTTGTCCGTTTTCTTCATTTGTCCGTGGTCCAAAGTCCTTAGTCCGAATCCCATCACCCTCCTCGAATACTCATCGATTTCCTTACGCAAGCTGCGCGTGTTCGCGTATGAACTCTTGAGCGAGATGCCAGTTGGGATGAATTAGAAATTATAGATGCACAATCGATGGCGGAACTCGACTGACCAAAAAGCATCTCACTGCGCGTGCGGCCAGTCGAATATTTCTTCATGCGTCTGTTATCCGGAAAAGAAAACCGGGTTGCGGCAATCGAGAAACATGACCTCATTCGACGGAAGGAATGACGGCAAGACTGGAACCGGAAGCTTCGTATTGTAACGGGCCGGCCGATCCGTCACGACACCCAGTGAGTGGCCTGGCCGGAGGAATGTCCTGTATATGAGGGAAGAGCTCTCTACACAGAAATAAATCAGTGTGTCAGATGACGCACAAAAGTGGGTCCTGTGTCGTCTGGGCGACACGGAATAACGTGTCATGAGCTTTGACCTACTGAAACATGTCTTTTGGCACATCCTACTACATCAGCAGTGGCGGCTCGTGGGTAAAAAATTGGGTAGGCAGCAGTGGTGCAAAAAAAAAAACGTGTGGGGGGGGCGGTCACACCCTAATGATTCCTTTGCACCCATATGATCCACATTTCTATCACTATTGACAAATGGAGCGTCCTCCTATGATAGCAGGCACATTCGCTCCTCTCTCCCCCTCGCTCAGCATCCCCTCCCCACCCACCACTCTCCAGTCTCTTCTAAGGGCCCCCTCCCCCTTCCCCACCTCTTAGCTACAGGCTTGACGTAAGTTTAGGATTTCTGAGTTCAAAATTGTAAATCCAATTCTAACATAAGCAGAACTATCCATCAAGGAAATTACTTGCATCTAAAAGGAAAAGTGAAGAAAATTTAAACCTTTGAATGGAACTATATCATTGGAAGACATCTCAAGGATGCGAAACTCTGCCAGTCTAGCACATATCACTTGGAAACAGTGCCTCTTCCAGAGAGAGCAACGAATGCAGGGTAGGAATAGGGAACAGAGACTGACAGAAGCCTGTTCGGAATGATTCCTTATTCAGTCTGTTTAATACTGTAGAATAGGTCTGATCAGGTGTGACAACCATAGAGGCTTCTACGAGTACAACCACGTGCTTCTAAGCAGAGGGCGTGAATAAGCGATTCTCAACCTTCCTTCCTGCGCAAGGAGTAACTGCGCACCGTAGGGAAGCCTACCCTCACTCATTCCAGTGTTGTGGTTTCTCTCCCTCTTCTCCCTCCTCTCGTTCCTGCATTGGACTCGTGGGAATTTGGGTCTAGCCAGCGTAGGCAGGTAGCGCCGTGCCTACTCTGGATGCATAATCTCATTTTGCTTTTACCTCGCATTGGAAAAAAAGTATTTCCAGCTGTGCTAATCGAAAAATTAATTAGAAAATATTAATTTGAGAACTCTGATTTTTAAACTGGGTAGGCACTGCCTACCCTGCCTACCCTGACGAGCCGCCACTGTACATCAGTAGGCACATTTAAATGTGCCCAGCCTCACGTCAAGTTATTCTGCGTCGCCAAGTCATAATCCAGACGTGTCAATGGACCCACACAGTAGTGTGTCACAAAACACAATTGGGCGAGTCCGTTGGGATATTCTCTCCTCCAGTGTGTCATTTGACACATCTTACTGCATCTGTGGACGCGTTGAAATGCGTGAACCCTTGTGACACATTTTGTCACAACCGATACGAAGAAATTCTCCCATGACACATACACGTGCGTCAAATTACACGTTATATCGTGTCATTTCTCCCTGTGTATGAGTCCCTCAAGGGAGGCCGCAGTGCATGTATAAGCCCCTACGTGTCACGCCTTACGTCTGACCCTTGACCCCAATCAAGAGATTGGGGCCAAGGGCCACCTTGACCCCAATCACACAGGGTCACAAAGTGACACCCACATGTAGAGACCAAATCATGCATATTCCTTCAAGGTATCCCGTCGGATGTGTATAAACATCTTGCAGAGAACGATATCAGCGACTTGAGTGAAGGTTCATTCCGCGCTATAGTGAAGGTGCTTTCGTTGGGGGGGGGGGGGTCGATCGGATTGAGGGATGAGTGACCCGGCTGCCCATCTTCGTAACACCTTCATGTACCATCTTTCACTACCACCTTCTTCCGCGTGTTTTAGATAACGCTTTCGTTTGCGACTGCAGCATGGCCTGCCTTGCTCTGAATCCAGACTTCTTGTAGTGTGTCGGGTAGTGTCACCGTTGGGACGGTCTTCCCAAACCTCTTCCCAGTCTTCCCAGAAAACAGAGGGAAAAATAAAATAGCTGTTGATTCGTGGCAATACCGTTTCCACTTCGCGAATGTTTCCCGAAGTGTTCCCTAGGTCAGCCAAGAGAGCAATTGTTCCGAGCTGGAAAATTAAACTTTCATAACTGCATCGTTACTGACCACCTAAACGTGTTAAAATAATTTGGTTACTCCTGGATCAGGTCCAAATAAACAGAGGGATCGATTGGTTCAGATGGCGAGTTGTTGTGTGCATTGATGGAGATGGGGCCACTTTTGAAAATTTGTTGTAATTGCTGGAGATTTATTGCTCAGATTAAATTAACTTATTTAATACTCTACGTAATACTCTACATAGAGTTTCACCTGTAATGAAATTTGATTTCATCCAGTGGTATTCTCAATTTTATTGATACCTTCGGGATCCAAGATTTTTTGGACCACCCTGTATATTAATATATGTATTACAACCATTGAGCTATGTTTTACTCAGAAGCTGTAAATCTTTCTTGGCTTTCGCCCCTGGATGGATGAATCTACTTTGTGCTGGGAGCTAATTTACTACCTTAATTATCCATGGCATCATGGTAACGTTAACCACAAATAGTCGCGGTCCTAGGGCAAAGCCCTGGTGGAACAGGTGTAAGACATCCTTCATGCTGGATATTTCAGATAGGAGGTGTTATGTTCGAAGTCATTCCTCGGTCTGATGTGGATTACACAGCTATCGCGTTTCCTTCTCGCAAGTGGGAACTTCCGTCGTTCGCCTCAACAAACACATTACATCTATCCAGTTTCATTTTTAATCCAGAAAAAGATGGATGATTGTTCAGAATTAGACCACGAACCACGAATGCGCAAGTCATCTCCATGCTCCGGCAAACCACTCCCACACAGCACAGGTATATCCCAAAGATATCCCAGAGATATCCCCTTGGGACAAGTGCGATGTCCCAGAGACAAGGAGTAGAGACATCTTAGGGATATCAAAATGTCTGGGTCCAAAGACATCCCAAGGATGTCCCTTTCTTGAAGAAATAGCATATCCCAGAGATGTTCCAGGGATATCCCCTTGGGGCAAGTTAGAAGTCCCAGGTAGTACATGTAGGGGCCTTCCTGTCCGCAATGGACTCATTTCCCATCGCACAAAAGAACCCTTTGCTTTCGTAGATGTCTCTATTTTACCTAGGACCACCTAATCTAAAGTTCTTGATCGAAGAAAGAGTGATGATAAAGGGGGAGGAAAATACCATTCCTAAAGAGGGCCCCATCATAGGAGACACATCTCCAAGGGATGGAATTCAGCACTTTACACG